AAAATGCAACCCATAGACAGCCCTTGGAGTGAGCAATGGGTCATCTGCCCTCTCCAGCCACTGTGGCTCGCTCAGCTGACTGACCTTGCGTTTCCGGCACACCAAGCTGGCAGCTGTGATGAGCTGGATGGCATAGCGCAGTGACGTCTCCAGCCCGATGCGGGTTAGCACTGTGTAAGCATCCTCGCTCATCTCCACATCTTCCTCCTCACATCTGCAGGCAGGCAGGGCAAGGGTGGCTCAGCCAGGGCTGGCCTCTCATTGCAGCTAAAGAAGTAGCCACAGCAGCCCCCTGGTCCTCCTCCCCAGGGAATACATGGAGCTTGAGTCTCAGAATCATAGAATGCTCAAGCTAGAAGAGCCACTGAGATAAGAGCAGAAATGGGCTGGACCAAAGCCTAGGGCCTCCTCACCCCCACCCATTGGCCCTGTCTCTGACACCAGTCACTGGTACCTCTCCTCCTTTTCCCACAGTAGCTCCTACTCCTAGATCAGAGACCAACTGCCTAGATGCCCACCTCAGTCCTCTCTCTTGCAGGCCCAATGACCTTGGGCCAGTCACACTCCACCCACCAGACCTCAATATCTTATCTGTCAAACAGGGTGGAGACCAGCCCTGCCTCTCAGGCGCATAGCCTGGTCCTGTCCGCACCGGATGCGGAGGATCTGCTTCGTGTCCTTCTCACTGTAGGGAGCAGTGGAAACGATGAGAAGCCGGTCCAACAGGTCTATGGGGATGCCATGGGGGCTCTGGTAGCTGGTGCCTCGGATTCTGGGACAGGCAGAAGGGAGACAAGGCGATGTTCACAGAACCCAGCTCTCCTTCCCCCACCACAACCCACTCACTGGGCCAAATGCCCTGTAACCTTCAGCCCCCGGCTCCCATCACCTCCTAACGTCACCTCCTGACTGCACAGCCTTCACCAACTGCGTCAATCCCCCGAGGGCACCCTCCCTGAAGAGCTAGGGCTGGTTTTACCTGGATATCTATGTCCAGGATTACTTGATCAAGGTCCCACTCTGCTGCTCAACACAGAGCTGCACAAGGGAAGGGACTGTGCCTGCCTTGATCCCTTCCACACCAGGGCCAGTCCAGACTGGCCCATGGCAGGTGCTGGGAGGCACAGTCAAGTCCTGCTGTTCACAGTAGTTAGTTCTATAAAGTTGCTACAAATACCCAATTAGCTAATCCTTCACCACTACTGCTGCGGGAATACTCAGTGAAGTCCTGCAGCCTTTAGTCACAATACTCTATTCAATCAACACATCACCTTGGTTTGTGCATGCTTCTCTTCAGAGACACCTTATTTAACATACATTGTTAGCTCACTAACACCAGACCCACAACAGTGGCACTGTAATTTGTGCCTAAATGAAGCACCTCTAACACATAGTTTCTCCAAAGGCACATCATAGCCTTCTTGCACTCAGGAATACTAATCAGCAAGTCAGCTCAAAATTACCAACAAGAACACACAAGAAATGGCAACTGATACAGTACTGAATAGATAACACACCAAAAAATTGCTCTGTTATAAATCAGTATTTGGGAAAATTTTTCTTTCTTAACCTGTTAATATGAAGGAATAAAGTATAAAATATTAAACAAAAAAAAAATTGCTCTGTTAACAGTTGGAGAGCTGAAAGAAGCAGGTAGAACATCATCTTGCTCAACCTCAGCTGGGAAAGTGAGAGTTGGATAACTTGAATTAGTGGTGCAAATTAGTGGTACAAATAGATTATAGCAAGTAAGCAGACTCACAGATACAAACTCTGGGGATAGTGAGGATGGCCTGTATCTGCTGCTCCTCACAGGAGATGGACCTGGGCAGCTCCTATGCCCTGATCTGCACTTGCTGCAAATTAGAGATCAAATTCTGGAACTGCCACCTTCTAGACATGGGACCTTAGGCAGGTCACTGGGCCTTGCTGTCCTGACCTGTAAAATGGAGCCAAGACAGAATCTACCTCCCAAGCTGCCTCTGAGGGTCCTAGGAGCTCATCTGGAAAAGAGCCAAGCACTGAGGGAGGCACAACTGCCCCCTCCCCTGTAGCCATATCTGCTTCTTCCCTTTCATGATATCTACCCCCCTACTGCCCGGTTTCAGCTAGGGACATGGCTGCAGTGCAGTCTCCAGCCTCTCTTACAGCCAGGCATAGCCATGTGCCTAGGCAGTGCTGGGCAATGGGATATGAGGGAAGTGTGGGGAGCAAACTCCAGATCACAGCCTACAGTGAATACTTGCTGTCCACATCCCCCCATTTCCTGTGGGCTAAAACATGGATGAAGTAGAGAGGACAGCCAGCTAGGACACAGGGTGCCCACAACACCTTGGGGTAGAGGTTCTCTCAGAGGATGGTGCCTTTTGTGTCTCAGGAATTTTTCCACAGCATCCTTAGGCCAAAAGTAGCATCAAGAGGTGCACTGATTAAGTAGTTTGGTCTAAGTGCCTTAATAGTTAGTGGCTTATGTAACTAAGTGGCTTATGACATCTAACACATGTCACTATGCATCCCTCAAAATTCAAAGACATCCCATAGCACTCTTTGCGAGGTTCCCACAGCATCCTGGCATCCCTTGGCACACAGTTTAGAAACCACAGCTTCAAGCACTGCAGTAGCAATAAGACAAAAAGAGCACAGGCTGGGACATCCCACATGAGCTACCTACCCTCCCACTTTATCTAAGGGAAAAGCACTTGTCTGAGCCACTGTAGTTACAGTACCTACCTAACAACGTGACCAACAAAAATTCCCTGTTTAGCCTATGGCCATACCCACTGCCCTGCAGTTGGCTCACCGTGTGATGCCACGGTTGGTGGCCATGATGAGGACAGGTGCCATGTCACTCTCCAGGGCCCGGTTGAGGAAGGAGAAGCTCTCAATGTCCAGCATGTGGACCTCATCAATGAACAGCACCTGGAAGCCATTGGGGCATGTGTCAAAGTCATCCCCTCTCCCCCATTCCCATCTACACCCGCCACCTGCCCCAGCCATGTCCTAGAAACTCACCCCAGGGATGATCTCTGCTTTGCCCTCCTCACGCCACTCAGCTACCTTGGCATTGATCTGTTCTCGGACTTCTGACTTGATCTCCCCAGTGTCACCTGTGGGAGGTACAAGAAGCATTGGAAATCTGACTCAGCACCTGTGGCTCAAGTGGCTAAGGCGCCAGCCACATACACCTAAGGTGGTGGGTTCGAATCCAGCCCGGGCCTGCCAAACAACAATGATGGCTGCAACCAAAAAATAGCCGGGCGTTGTGGTGGGCTCCTACAGTCCCAGCTACTTGGGAGGCAGAGGCAGGAGACTCGCTTGAGCCCAGGAGTTGGAGGTTGCTGTGAGCTGTCATGCCACAGCACTCTCCCACGGGGACAGCTTGAGGCTCTGTCTCAAAAAAAAAAAAAAGGAAATGTTGGAGAGGAGACAGAGGTCAAGGGCTAGAGAGCAGGCAAAGATAAGAGAAAGACAGGATGCCAGGAAC